TCCTTTGGAATTGTTACCGTTGATTCGGGTACTACTTTTATAACTACATTTTGCTTGCGACTGAATCCAGCGCTCGTTGTTGTCGCACATCTGACTGACTGAGCGTTCTTCTCCAGTTTATTTGTTTCGCTGGCTCCGGATGAAGTAGCTGTTTGGCTGACAAAACTCAGGTCCGTATACGATTCATTCATCTTCGCGTTGATAACGCTTCCCTGTTGTTCGTCGAAAAAACCAACCTCAGTTTCTTTCGAAGCCTCCTCTTGAATATTCTGGCTTTGTTTCGGCCTACAATGTGTTCCGATATCTTTTCTGTTCAACATTCTTGGGAGCCTCTTGGTCGTTCTCCTCTGCTTTATGCAAGCGGCCTTCGTTTTTTGGACAGTACAGAGGTACGTGTTGTTTTCCTGGGATGTTTCTTTGTTCTCTGAGTTCGCCTTAGCTGGTCTTTTTCTCGCCTAGGAGACTGACATTAGACTGTGTCTAGTTCCCTGGACGAACCGTCGTCAGTTTCGGCGTTTCGTACGGCTAAAGAAGCTGTGGTTGTGCATGTTTTTTTTGTATTCCTTAACTTTTCTACTTCCATTTTAGACCTTTTAACTCTGCCTCCATTTTCGAAAATTTATGAATGTGTCCTAAAATGTGGTACAGATTTCGTCGTCGCATGTGACATCCCCCAACATCATTAGACTTTTTGCCCGTTTGACAGACATTTGTCTGACAGCAGAACGCCCAACACTGTAGTCGTTACTATCATGCGTAATACATGATCTATCATTTGTTTTGACAAGGATGGTGCGAGTCACTGTCCTAGTGGTAATGACGGTTTCGTGGCCGGTCGACTGCCCGGGCTCGACTCCCGCCTGGGGCCGGCATTTAACATAGTGCTTTGAGGGCATTTCTCCGAATAACATTACAGAGTTTACAAGTTTCAAGCGATTTTCTTAAAGGTATGAAATGAATTTTTAACCAAATCAAAGATATGAGGTAAACAACTCAGCCTTTCGTATGTTTTGGGGATTTCTCCGTGCTGTTGCGCAGAGGCGACTGGACGAAGATCGGTTATCCCACACAAGTCCTGGGGTAGGTTTTTAAGGATGGATCTGTCGTAAAGACGAATGAGATTCTTAATACCCACGATTCGTTCAGACATCCAGTAGATATATATCCCGATAAAAGTTAAATCCACCTCGGTCGAAAATTTCAAACCAAATTCGATATGCACGGTACCTATCGCGGCTGGATGTGAGAGGGAGGTGTAGGAGCAAGGGGAGCAGTGATTCGGAATTCGCAAGAGTATGATTAGCTGAATCTTCGCAGTTACTTGCATTATGATCGAACTGCTGAATTTTTGATCAAGAAGACGAACATTTATGTAAGAAAAGGGACCCAATTGTATGCTTTACTGGGTAAAATCATGACAAAAGAACAATATCACGCTTTCTAAATATACAGAAACCTTGAGTAGAGAAAAAAACTTAATTAAAATAGGCCGATTTTGACTACGACGAGACAGATGATTGGCATCCGCTATTTTATAGTTGAATCTGCACGAGTACAGGAAATTAATCGCAACATAAACTGGCCATGCAGACCGAGGAACGTTTTTTTAGCAAGAAGTTTTAGGTCCTTTTTGCTTATCACATCGTTCACTAGCAACCAAGTGAGCAAGTGAGTCAAGACGTTTACATTCTTGAGAAGGAATATCAGAGATGTTCCCAACGAACAATTCTCCCAGAAGTGAGAGCGTGTTGTCGAAATTTAGCACAAAAGCGTTGTAGTTGTACAGCAGGGGCAGTGCCAAGAAGTGCTGTAGTAAACCTATTCTATTCTATCAGGTTGCATCTCAATAACAACGGGTGACGAGTGGTCATTAAGGCTACAACAAAGAATCCCCATGATCGCCAGGATATCGTAGTCGTCCAGGGCTTATCCGAGTCGGATGCTCCTCCCTGGATGGTGAGGATTTCCGCTGACCTTGATATGTTTTAATACCTGCTGAATAATATGCTTTATTCGAAAAAAGAGATAACTATTTGCACAGCCTTCAGGATCTAAAAAAGGTAAATAAACACTGGGAAACTGTGCGACCCGCGCCGCTTAAAATTGTTTTTGGCAGCAAAGAAAAGGCTTATTTGCTTCTCTCCAGGAAAAGCAACCTACGAAATCCGCACAAGGGATTTTACAGCCGGACTACTCTCCAGCTGAACGTCAGAACCGCTGCGAATTAGTGACGGAATTGAAGAGGAGACTTGCAACTGGAGAGGGTAGACTGACTTTTTTCAAGGGACGAGTGATGCAGAGGAACGCAGTATTGTTCTGCAACCAAACAGTGATAATGATCGCGGCAACAGCATAATATTGGCAAACTCGAGACGAACTGAACTAAGCACTGTCAAATGTTGCAAACCCAAATTCTTGTTTACCAACACTCTTTTAGAAATTCGACGAACTGAGAACACGGGCAGATAATAAATCTTCAGATGCTATAACCGTGGAAGTGTGAATGTCACAGGAAGTCGGTGAATGTGAATTAACAATATAAGGATACTTATTGTTTATGAGATATAGGAGAGACCGTCAAGGTGGAGGAGTTTCCAGGCATGCAGGCATGTGGGAGAGGACCGACAAAATTGCCGACGACGCAGAGGCCATTTGGCTGAATATAAAATCACGGGAATCGCAATCCCTCGAAGTCAAAGCTATTTACCGACCACCACGGACAGACTACGACGCAGGTTCTTGTCCACTGAAAAGCATAAAAGAGACCGGCAGTCCACCGGATGATGTTTTCCTGGGTGACTTCAATGTATCCTGCAATCGATAGAGCGACATGCATACAAAGAGCTCAAAGTATTGCTATGATCGCTGTTTCCTAAGGACAAGACTTGAAACTCTTCTCACACGTGCGCGTGCGGGACAACAGAGTAGTTGTTTGGATCTCGCCTTCGCCAAAGATTCCGACAGTATAGACGAGATACACTGCCAACCTTCGCTTGGTCAAAGCGATCACGCAGTAACCTTATGGAAGTACGAACTTTTGCCAAATGAAAGCTGAGGCATCGCCAGCACACTAAGGCGTCCATTTCTCCAGGAACGCCACCCAGGACTGAAAAGTAGTCAGGGACCGGTTGTTGTATCTCATGGTGAGCCACTGTCACTTCTCAATGTAAAGATGTGGTCTCAAAGAGGAAATCAGCAAGAAAGGAAAGTTGAGAGAAAAGATTTGTGGAAACAACGAAAACGCGGTCGTTACAGAACGCAAAATCCAAAGGAACAGGGTTCATGGCTTGCTTTTCAAAAGAGGACGAGATTTGAAGAGTCCTTTGCTCAATCGAGCCGCAAAAAAAGACAAATTATTCTACAACTACGTGCGAAAGAGCACATGTAGCAGGAACCCTATTCCTGTACAGCGAATGATGACGCTTTAGCGATATTATACAGCACAAGCAAAGTTGAGCGTTTCTGTTAGTTCCTCCATTCTGTTTTAACTGGAGATGCAGTTTATATTCCACCTTGCTGTGGGAGTATGTGAGAGTCGATTAATAGAAATTCTGTATTTCGAGAAGAAGCGAATTTTGAAGGACCAAAAAGCTTGACGGAACGTGAATCTCGCTGTCCGGATGCGATTACAGGAAAACAGATTTTTAGACTTGTCCGAGAACTGGTCAGTCGATATCTTCTTCATGTCAGAAATAGCTTAACACCGGAATCTTTCTTAGGAATAGGAAGACAACCTACATTACATCAATTTACAAAGCGGTAGTCGTGCTCCTCTCACGCACTGCAGACAAGTCAGTCTGAGGTAAATCTTCTGCAAAGTTAAATAGACCATACTGCAACTCGGAAGTCGAAATCAGATCCCTAATTTGCGGCAATACCACCTGGACGGAATGCCACTCGGAGAAAGAGAAACAGAAAAATTTGGGAGTTTGAATCATAGGCACCCAAATGCCTTCTCCACAATGTTGAAAGACGGTTAAGGCTTCAACTTCAAGGCTATACGCCATCAAGTGGGCATTCACAGTTTTCGATGAGGAATGCTTTTCCAAAGTCTTCAGCACGTTTGTGAGACCACAGCTTGTGTATGTGATCCAGGCCTGGAGATCCTGGACGCCGCAGGATTACAATCTACTCGAAAGGGTGCGGAGGCCAGCCACAATAGTAATAAGATGTCAGGATGCACCGCCACACGAGATCTGTCTAAATAACCTTAATCTCTGTCTTTTGAGTTATAGGTAGTTTTGCGGAAACTCGATACAAACTTCCCGAATCGTGCGTGGCTTGGACAGCGCCCTCCTGTGTGATTACTTTTTCAGCTCGCCACAACAACCAACCCCCGGGAACATCCCTTCAGACTACGTGTGCCCAAGGAAGATTGGATGGAAAGAAGTATTTGTTCTTCAACTGTGTCGTGGGACAGTGGAACGATCTGCCCGAGGGGATTGTAATGTCTTAATCTGTTGAGACATTTAAATACCGGCTTAACAGACATATGCTGCAGCAACAAGCGGACTATATGATTTCATAATCACAAAAACAATTACCTATGTATATCGATATCTGCATTCACTTGTTGTTAATTCTTCCGTTTTTTATCTGACGAATAGGGAGTTCAGAAGCGTGAGTCCATTTCCCCTAAATACACTGAGTCGGACGGAATGCGCATCTGACCTTCTCTTCAACTCAATTCACGTATATTTGTGTTTTCATTCCTTTTCTACATAGCGTAACTTAACTGTGGGATTGTACTGGTTAGGATAAATTCGTCCTGCACTAGCTGCTCATGACAATTCATTTTTCTGCCGCAGGCTGTTGTACATATACCGTTTATTTTACTATCACGTGTCCTTAGTGAAATACGCCATATTTACCCGGATCCCTAATCTCCAGCTTCGATTCTAGGGCTAAGAAACTACGCTTTGAAGTCTAAATTCTGGGTCACAATGGCTACAGCATATTAGGTTTGTTTGTCTCCGCCGAAACTTGTGGTATTTTTTAAAATGTGGTCTTCACGTTTTCCTAAGATTTTGCGCGTTTTTTGCGAGTCTCCCGCATGGTAAATCTGTCATTTTATACTAAGAATTGCAGCTTTCCGAAAAGGCCGGTAGTATTCCATTTCGAGCGTCATTTTGCTAGCAATCCTCCAGCAAAGGCTCGCAAGGTAATCACTACTTTTTACCTCGAACTCATTTAGCAGTTCCCCTGGTTGCAATGGGGTTTTTTCTTTGCGTGTACCGGAGCCGTTGTTTATTTCAGCAGATACGCCATCGGTCCTGGAAGAAACTGTATGTCCCTTCTCTAATTTGTATGCATTCGCTCCGATGTTCATATCAAATGTCGTCATCTAAGCCTACGTTACCTATAACTGAAGCAAAACCCCTTTCTTCTAAAATATTCCCCTTGGAATGGGTTACTAATATAACTGTTCCTTCGAATAAGTAATCATAGGCCAAATTTTGAACTACCTAAAATCGTTTATTTTGAGCAGATTGTTATGACGAGTAGGTGGCATTGAGAGCCGAAGTTGTGTCTGTATAGAGTCACGTGTTCGTCCTGAGTGAGTATTTTGAGGAAACTTTCCCGTTGATTCACTGGTCGACGTCAGCTAAAACACTGCACGACCGTCGCAAAGTTACTGGTTTACTGCCGACGAGGTGACAACAGTCGATACGTGCAGCGGATTATCAGCAATATTCTTCTTCTCATGTTCGGAATTTCCCCTGTTACAATGCGTGAAACTCAAAGTAACCGGCTGTATGACATGAAACGCCACCTTCACGACCGCTCAAAATGAGGTTCTATACCACGTGATCCGTCGTGCCTCAAGTCGGTCGACCCTGTGCTATCCGTCCACACTACAACCGCCTCCGGCTTAAGTTGTTACAACGCTCTAAGAGCCATGACATCAGTCCGGCCGGTGTCGGTAGAGAGACCAGTAGGTGTATTGCACACAAACGGGAGCCTCTTGTCACGTCTCTAATTCTGTCTGTGTCAATCCGGATTGAGCTTAACTATGTCCAGCCGTTTAAACAGGTCGATACTACCCAACCCTGGCACTATAAATGAAATCGTACAAGTTGCCACTTTCTTGACAGTTTCATACTTTTTAGTGTCTATTTTAACAGATGGTTGCTCGACTCCTTCTGAAATCGTGTATTGTGCATTATCTGCAAACTATTTCGTACCACAATTTCTGCAAACCACTGTAGTCGGCCATTGTTATCTGCACATGTCTTAAGTTTCGCCGTCCCGCTATACTCTGCTTTTCTATCAACCGTCTCTTCTGTTCGGCAAAATTTCCGGTTAGTCCGTTTCTAAATGCAAGTTCGGTCATCAGCTATTAACTGTCGAAAATTGTCGACATTTCTATTTTTGACAAAATAAAGTCCAGAGCTACTGCTGTGTAAGTACAGAATAGAAATGGACGCGTCGGAAGTCTTCCTGCCTACTTAATCCCCCGAAAGCGTATCGCCTGCGAAATACTCGTCACAGGCTTTTCAGAAAACTAAGGTAAAACAAATTTTCTCTAACAAAGCCAATGGGCTAAGCATTTGAGTGTTGTCATCTGACATTCTGGTTTGTCCGCACATTACTTTCAAATTGGGTGCGTAGATCACTTTGACGGCAATTTACTGTACTGTTATCATCATAGACGTTGCAGTTGGTTGAGAGACAATATTTACGCGGCTGTACTTTAGGCCAGTAGAAAAATAAAGTCATCATGGCAAACTTATTCTCAGTCAAAGTCTTTGGATGCACCAAATTTTCCGTAATAACTTTGCTTCAAGCGTCGAAAGACTCGGTTACTCGTATTGTACTGCCGCTTTCCTTTCTCACTGTAAAGGCCATCCGTTAAGGTTGGACCAGCAACGCTCCCAATCAAAGGAGGGAAGTCCTACAACCCGCGCAGTGGATGCGGCTGCCACAATTTAGTCAGCTGATTTCGGTGACTCAGTGGGAGTGTTTCAGTTTTAGTCGGGATTAGCTCCTACTAACCTCATCACAATTGTTATTAACCAGGGACTTTATTTCAGGCCATTGTATTTGAATTCATTTGTTCACCGTTCATCCCCTCTTATCACAAATGTCTCAGTTCGCCGTCCGTGTTCAGTACCTTCACACGTTTTTATGCAGTACAGTGACCAACGTTTTCGGTGCATGGAGTCGCAGCGACCGACCACGCACCCAGCCACGCTCAACAACGCCAACGAGAAAGCGTGCCGTATTTGGGGAAAAAACTAATTTTTCGTCAGTTTAATCCTCTCAGTCTGATTTTATCGACAGTTACGTTTTTGAATGTGCGTTTTTGGGCAATAGGATTACCTCGTCTTTATATCTTTCCATATGCACAGCAATGAGACAAATCGCAGAGGGATTAAGTCAAATCGCCATCGGTGGGGATTTTCGTTTAGTCGACCAGAAAGGCATGGAATTAACGCTGGCAGATTTCAGAGGCAAATGGTTACTCATGTACTTTGGCTTCTGCCGATGCCCGGACATCTGCCCTGAGCAATTAGAACGTTTGGTGGAGATACACGAACGTTTGGGTAGGTCTTCGCAGCTTACTTGCATTCTTCTCAGCATTCCTGTAATTTTGCATCATTTATAAATTTAAGTTTTGCCAGTCAGAGAGCCATATTTGTCTTCCTCCCTGTCTCCTTAGCGGGCTAACCATGTTGCCCGTATAAACTCGGGAATGGTTTGAAAGTCATTCTGTTTCTACGGCCGCAGATCATAATCGACAAAATTGTTGCCCGGTTCTCGAAAAGTGTCGGAAATCCAAACCTTTTAGATTAAATTTTCTAGTGGTATTATCAGTTAGGATGACGCAACTGGGATTGCCATTTCTGGCATAGTAGCCTGTTGTCAGGCAGTGATGCTCCTGGTGCTTATGCAGTCGGCGTTGGAAAGTCGTTTAGCGGGTCACCGATCGGCGGTACTCTACTAGCACCAATCTCTGGTTGAGATCTTGAATATGCAAGATCACATAAGTGATATTCGCCGATTTACCCCGATTACAGGACGGAGGTGGGTAGTTTCGTCTGGCCTTGGAATGCTAGGCTTAGAGCCCATCCATGCAGTCTCGTAGCGACAAAAAATCAGTCCTCAAGCAGCATTTCTGATAAAGATTGGATTTTATTTCCTATAGCGAAGAGACGTTTATCTAGCTGTCGTCTGCGGGTCAATTACTCAGCGTGGGTTGACGTTATAAAAATACGAAAATAGGCCTTAAATGTTTGTCCGTTTTCTAGTATAAAACACTTAATCAACTAAAAGTAAAAAAGCGCTAAGTTTTTGAATTTTAACATAGTCTTCATTGTCGGTCGGACCTAAACCCGGTGGGACCTATTGAACGTGTGGACATATTCATGTAAGAGAAACTTAGTAATGCTTTTATTAAATTGGGTTTGACCAGGATTAGTAAGGTACTCATACAGGTTTTTCAACCTTTGAAACGTAATTTTTATCAGCTCTGGTCTTTTTGGCGGTCACGGACGCTTGCCATTATTTTAAAATGAATTTCTCCTAAGCGTAGGAAAACTGTGTCCCCAAGCAAAAGCTGAAGAACATGTATTAATTCATTTGGACACGTGATTTGGGCAAAAATATGACCAACGACAGTAAACAGACCTCTCGTCCTCGATAATTGGGGTTGTTCGCTCTTACTTCCACGCACATCTTCCACTTTAATGCGAATCGCTTGGAATGGGCGGCTCCTATTGGTCAGATGGCGGGTCGCTCCGGTTTGCGCGTTAACTAAACTAGATTTACAAGTTATAGCCGAATAATTTCCTTAGAATTCGGCCTTGTTGTCTGTGAAACTATTTCCACAGGATTTCGCCTCCACCCTTTAGGTCTTTCGTGCTGATTCCTGTTCCACATAAAATCTTGCCAGCAGCATGGTGACCCCCCAGCGGTTTCGCGATGTGTAAGTTCTTAGTGCGCACCGCCCGCACGAGCCCACCATGCTATTGGCTATTTCGTGAGGCTTCGACGACCAGCGGTAGTTCCAAAATTATTCGAATTGCGCGCGTGCACCTGGTCATTGTCTGCATCGCCACGAAACTGTCATTAGACACTGTGAGCGGCGGTTCGGGCGCGGCCGGCCACGTGCGGCCGCTTGTACCTGACTCTACTAGGACGCGGTCTATGCCATTTCACATAAGCGGAAATGCGGCCGTGCAAGCTGTTCTTGGACTAGTATGGGACTTGATTGGAAGCTAGTTCTTTTACCACCGGACGTCGACTCTCGGTTAAACACTTCCCAGATGATTGTGTAGATCACGCTCGCGAAAGAATCCCAGCTTATGTGGTATGTATTTTTTCCTTGCTTCTTGCTCTTTCATACATCCGATTACATTTCCTACAATTTCTTACGCTCATTCTGCATGAAATTAGGACTTATTAAATATCAAACTTGTAATGGGAAAGTGTTTCGGTTTTTTAAGGTCTTTACCGGTTCCTGTGGATTTTTTAAAATTGAATCGATACCTTCATTTTCCAGACCACGTGCGAGTGAGATTAACACAGATGGGAAGAAAGACCCCCGACCAGCTCCCAATAAATTTTCCAACGGGCAATCTTTATAGTTTTCGCGCGTGCCATCGAATTTTTCTGTCGATTTCTAAGTCTGTTTTGCCTACATCAGGTTTGCTGAAACAAGAGTCCCTTTTCCCACCGTGCGACCGCAGATTATGGCACCAGATAGTTGTTTTATTTATTTGTTAGTCGCAGGGATTTGCTAACACCAAGGACTCACAGGGCCCTAGTCAGTGCGTCAGTCCTTTCCAGCTCCACTATCAGTGGGTCAGTGGAATCTGCGCGCCCTTTCTGCTGTTTTCTTACGCGTCTAGATTTGTCCTCCTCAACCTCACCTTACAGTTGAAATCCGTCCACCAACTCGTTCCCGCAAGTCGCTGTTTCTAAAGACGATATTTAGAGATTACGACCGAATTTTCTATGCTCTAGTCATTTTAATTCGGACTTAATCTGTGATGTGTCAAACCGGATAACACTAGATGTATTGGGATCTGGCGTTGATCGACGTCGCCGAACGCATCTACCCGCCTTATCTTAGCGGTTGACTTTCGGGCTGGTATCACACGCACCCTAATGGTCGCCTTCAGCTGGGGGTCGACCTTCGTAGTCTAGACTGTTAATTCGATGGCGGTAGTTGAAAAGCTCGATTATACTGGCCAGTGTGTTGGGAAAATATAGGAAGAGACGGAAACACTTAAGGGAGGAAGCAATGCTCGTTCGAGGGTTTGTGGTAGTTATCTCACGCTTTCGGTTCTGATTCGCACAGCGGAACGTATCGGACAGTCCGACTCAAGTGCCACCAGTGTCAGAGAAAGGTGGTCGACCCGGCTCACTAGGTTCTCTCCAGCACGCTGGACAGTCTTGGATTGACACTTGAAGCGCTCGATCATGCTGTTGACGGCTGAATGGTAGACTGTTGTCCGATGAAGGCTTAGAAGAATGCAGGCTCTAACTGAGCGACTTGGTTAGCCGTAACCGTAGATGGGGCACCGAACATGGCACCCAAGCACTGACGAGGGCCTTGACGACGGTGTCAGCTTCAACAATCGGCAAAAAATGGCCTCGGCCCAACGGACTTACCGACCGACGCAAGTAAGGTGTTTGTCTGTAGCCGTGGATGAACGCGGTGTTCCTACATTATCCAGATGGACGTGGCTGGACCGCGCGTCGGGGCTAGGGAAGGTGTCTGGTGAAGCCGTGGTCTGCCGGCAGCTCATGCACGCCCGTGCCCAAGTTTGGATATTCTTGTTCAAACCACGCCTCCATTACCTTGTCCGCCATCTAGGCTAGCCGTACGAAAAAGCCAGAAACCGAGACTGTCTGGACATCTGTGGGCAAGTGGTCTTAAAACACCCGTGAAGAGCTTATCATCAATTTGTAGCTCACCACACAGTGTCCGCCTCCTTTCTAGCAATCCGGCTGACTTGCGGTAACCAAGACGCTCTTCTCGAATTAACTGATGGTACCACCGGCAATCCTGAGTCGGAGAAGTGCCACCCTTAGCCCAGTGTATGGGTCACCGGCAGCGATTGCACCTGAGTCCGAACAAACCTGTGAAATAGTTCAATGTCTGTAATGTTCGCTGAGTGGGAACTAAACTCAGTACGAGGGGAGTATAGCTTGAGCACGTTCCGTTAGCAGTCCGGTAGGGACATGGATACGACAAGGGCGGGAAACTTGTGGAAGTGCATACCAGGGGCCGGCTCATACGATGGCGCAAAGTGATTGACTGGCTGGCACAGTTTTGGTGAGATCGCGTGAACAAGCAGCCCGCGTGCGAGTTCGGGGTCCCCACCTCAGCCAACAACGAGCAATATGATTGCGAATGTCCTTTGATCTTAATGACTCTTATATGTATATAGGGTGAGTGAGTACAGAGTTGTGAAATGTGTAGTGCAAAAGCAATTGCCGCAAAATTCGTGCGCATACTTAAGAACTGTAACCATCTGTCAGAATCGACGAGAACCACCGTATCCCCTGGAGAGGGAGGAGTTAATGACTTACCCGTGAGGGGAGTACTTGTGTAGCATCAAACTCTCTTTTCACACCTACCGTTTGCATGTGGCAAGGCAGGGCCAGAGCTGTTGGAGGTCCTTGATCCGGGCTTGGCACGCACGCCTTGCTCCCTGCAAGCACACAAACCAGACTTGACAGGCTGGGATCTCTCGGTGAAAAGAGTTGCCACCAGTCTGGTCTTTAGCTCAGCTGACCGAGGTACTCCGTCACTCACCAACCTTCCAAGCCATGGCCAGATGTTTCATGATAGTTTAAATTCAAGCCTCGCGTAGCTATGTCAGCCACTGTGCCTAGTCCGGTGCATAGGAGAAGAGTGGGCCTGAGGCCGGGAGATCCATCCGCACAGCAAATCGGCGCATTTCTCGCCGATAATAAATCTGACGCGCTTTAACCTACCACGAAGCATTATCATTCGTGCATTGGAAGACTGCCAACGGACGGGATAACTCGGTTCTCATGGGAATATGCTGGATTACCTGTAGGACTTGGCGTCAGGCTGCAATGCCCCCTTTTCTCACTGTTGCCTTTATAGCGTTCTCACCTATTCGAGTTCCGAGCCTGGTGCATGCTGCGTGTGGCACGCGTAGACGGGTTGTTCAGTTTTGTCGGCTACTGCTCCCGCACCAACATCTGCCCGAATTTGCCCTATCGGTGCCTGCTGAGTGAGGGAGAGAATATAGTGCTGTAGATGCCGCGCAAGTCTGTCTCGATGCAAACCAATTCGCACGCGAGTCCGCGGTGCTGCGTCCGCTTCTTCGCCTGCGACAGAGAAATGGTACTGTAGGATAGAGCACCCTATACTTTATCACCCCCTCCCCACTGAGTACAAGTCATTCCTCTTGGAGTTGACTTCAAACCTAGTGGCTGGCGGGGCATACAGTCTTTGTTTAATGATTACTATGTCAAGCCTCTTCTTAGGGGTCGGTGCCATCCTCCGTCACACCCGGCAACACTCATCTGAGGTTATACCTGCTACCTTTGTTTTTCACGACTTATTTGAAAAAATGACTTATTTTCGAGTCTTTCCATAGGCCTCTACGGGAAGGACAAGGACTTCGTCCCCATTTTCATCACCGTTGATCCCGAGCGTGATACTCCCGAAGTCGTCGACGAGTACTGCAAAGGTAATTGCTCTCTCCCACTCGACCACCTACCGGCCGCTCTCTCCTTTCTCTTTAAAAACTGCCTGCTAACATGTAACCTTGCTCCTCATGTGCTAGAAACATTTAAAGTTGTCAGTGTTTTTGTGCCTGTCAGGTGGAGCGGGTGATTTATTTTTGCGGACTCTCGGACTTTCTCTCTAAGTCATGGTCGACAGAGAAGGGTAGTAGATTGCCCAGGTGTTGCAATATTTATAGGATGTAGTTGTGTGGCCGCTACCTGCCTATCGCAGTTGGCGGCTCCCGAGTGCATCACAGCTCGACTGACCAGGTATTGAAGTACGCCGTTGCCATGCAGTTGCTACGCTCCTGTATGCCGGTCAAGATTATCTGCTCCCACGTTCATCGCACGCGGCTGAGTGGCTGACTACCGGATTTCGTCAGCCGTTTGGACTCTTGGGCGATTTAGCTCCCCGGCATTGATACCGAGGACAGTGATTATCCTCACGATCTCGCGGCCAACTACTGTGCCTAGGCTAAGTCTTAGCGCCGAATATGGATAGGGGAGGTTGTTGCGCTTGTTAATTAATTGAGGACCAGAAAACCACGACCAGAGCAGTTCACGGCTCATGTGGTTGTCACCTCTAGTAAGAATTTCTATTTCGTCCCGTCGAATAAGCCGCGACTTGGGAGTTGGCGTCGTCCCTCCTCACTGCTACCACGTGCTCTTCCAACTGCATCCGGAATAGTCTTCCGGTTTCTCCGACATAGTTGATTCGGATTCGAGTGAGAACCCGAAACGTCAGGCCAATAAAGCACTTGTTCCACCCATCGTGTCTCCTCCGCGACTACTTCCAGGAACTCGCCGGTTTGTCCATTGGAAGGGGTGGGGATCACCTCTGTCCCGAAGCGGAGGCAGTGGCGCCTTGCAAAGCACCTACTTCACTTCCCCCATGTCTGTATCAGGCGGACTGCAGACTCTGTGCCTGACGTTGTGCGGAGCCGCCGTCTGATATTTGTTTGCGTGTTATGAGGGTTGTCATAAAGGATAAATTAAGATGGAGCTGTCGAGGCGCGATGGTCAAGATGGAGAAGTCTCCCTAGCCAGAGAGACAGATTTACTGGGATAATCGCCTACCCTGATGGGGCACGTAAAACCAGCTCAGAACCCAAACCCAGCGATTATTCTACCACTGGTGGCCTCCAAGACGTTCTTGACGTACGGAATCGCCCCCCAACATCTTTGGTCGGTTCTATTTTGTCGTTCGTCGTGCTCGCGCATGCACCGTTTGACGAAGTTACGCGGGAAGCCACTTTTTCTGAACATTCGTCCAAGGTATTTAAATTCGGAAACCCTATCTTCCAGTTCACTGCGTTTGAGACTGATTAAGTGGTTGTTGAAGTTCGGTTCGGTGTTTGTCGCTTTCCCAAACATTTTTGTCCTAAGGTCACTACAATCTTTGCGGCAGACGGAGACATCAAAGAAGGCCAGCGGGTTGTTTTCTTCCTCTTCCATCGTAAATTGTATGCCCCGGGAGACGCTGTTGAGACGTCCTGTGTGCGTTAGTAGCCGATCCCGTCCGAGAACGTCAGTTCGACCGTCGTGCCCGACGATGTCCACTGTGTGTTCCACAGCGGGCTGAGAACAGGCACGGTTACTTGCGTGTGAGCCACTTTATAGCGAGTATAAACTTGCGCAGCATCTACCGCACTCGCTCATCCTCCCCCACCCGGACCCGATGTCAGGCCAGAGTCAAGAAGACGGGAGGGGCGGTGGGGGGCACAGGTTGATGGCGCGACCGAGCCCGCACCTTGGCGTTCTACTCCACACCCCCTGGTCCACACAACAATTGACCAAGACTTTAACCAACAAAAAATGGGGAGCGGTAGGCATCCAGATGTGCGGAACGTCAGCCGACAACTAGGCCAGCCACCACACGCCGAATATTGGCATCTGTTATGGTGCGCATTCCAATAAGGCCTGCCAGAATCCAATGTGGCCTCCGTGTTGGTCCAGTGCATCTATGGCGTGGCCCATTTTGGGGGGACACGTCTGATTACGACAAAGGTATCCACATGCCGAACCCATAATTTCGGTCTGTAGTGTTGCTAGGCCAGGCAGTCTAACCGTTGTGCGGCTGTCGCGACCAGGTATGGGCCTCGAAATCGGCGAACCCCTTAGTGTTCCCTTCACCTGCTCATAAATTGCTCGTCAAACGCGAAGTGCATCCTGAGACAGAACTTCAGGAGCTGAAGAACTTGGGCGTGTCCGAGGCGATTCTCTGTTTCATGGTATTTACGTTGTAAAAGTATTTCGACGGTCTCCACTGCGTGATCCTGAAGTGTAGAGTGACGTGACATCAAAAGCCACCATGACCTTATTTGGCAAGAGACTTACCCCCTTAAGCTTCTCCAGGAATTGTGTTGAAGGACAGATCGTGGTGTGTGCATCAGCCGTCAGAAACTCGAGACATTGAAATAGCCACTTTGCCAGTCCGTATGTTGGAATATCATGGAGCAATGGGCTGGAGAGGAGCGCCCACTTTGTGCACCTTACGAGATCGCAGAACCGGTGCTGGGACTTAGTTCAGTCAAAGTGATTAGCCACTCATGCAACCCATAGGCCAGTAAGCCAGGTGGCCTAGCAATAATCATGCCAACATTCAACACGGGTGATGAGATTTCGGCAATTAGCGACTTGCATGCCGGCCATCGAGCAAATAGCGCACAGGAGGGCACCCACCCTCGAAGAAGGGGAGAGCTGTTAATTGTCGTAGATATACGGTGGCATAGCGACTGCATCCTATAGATAGTACAACTTCCTGTGTATGAACTACCCGCATATGGTAATGTCTCTGATGATGGGTTGGAACGTGAGTCCGAAACCGCAGGCCAATAAAGCGCTTGTTCCAGCGGTCGCACCTACTTCTCAACGAGAGGTTTCTCTAGTCAAAACCCAGGGAAATAGGACTACCAGGTTATTAGTATATTTAGGGTAATTTCGGTTAATCCCTCACTCCGATGGGACACGTGCGACCGCCTTAGAAATTAATGGCGGTAGTTATTCTACCGCACTGAGAGTGAGGTGTGAGCATGAGTTTGGGTCATGTTCAGCTGCGGCCAATTAATAAAAACCAAAATATCGATTGGCAGGATAGTGTTGGCAAGCCCAAGGCTAAGTCACACGGGACGCTAACAGTTAACTGGTAAGGGACATTCGGTCTCTGTCGCCGCGCATTGAAAGATTTCTACCAAACGCAAGAGAACACTGTCTGGTTGGTTCGTGGTCATTTGGCGTTCTCGGCTATTCATACGCCAAACATTGGGCGTGCCTGTGGCTACTTTCGCACTCCAGCTTTCCATCATCATCCGCGCACACAACCTACAGTCGTCACAACTGTTCACAAGGACTGCTCTGATAACGTATGAATCTTCGTGGTAATGGGCGAGTCTGTCCAGGTACGACCGGTCGACAAGGGTGTAGTCTCCTGCACCAAAAGCCGGGAGGGATGCGGACTTATTTTGGCAGTCTTTACTGCGGCTGGGAGTGTGTGCATGCGGCTCGATAGGCAGCGCATCAAACGTTTAGCCAAACCGAAGCCGGTCATTGGTGTTTCGTTGGCCGGCACGATTTGTGGGCGTGCGCCTGGGCAGTGCAAGTCTGCAGCCAATCGTTTAAGAGCGAAATATCGGTCGCCGTCGGCAAGCCAAAGGCCATTAAACCGGTTGCTAAGCCTGGCCTACAGTAGCATTCCCTTAGCCGACCGAAATGGATCGAAAATTGGACTCGCTACCGACGCTGTCAACTTGGTGGACGCATGGAAGGTGACTTGCGGTGCACCCACCGCACGCCCTGCCCTCTCTCATCCACCTGAACCCGGTGCCACGACAAAACCAAGAAGATCGGATACGGGATCGGCGCAGGTGGACGGCGCGGCGCGAACCTGCACCTAGGCGCACCACCACGCGTGCTGGACCCTGATCTGGCCTCCCTGTTGGTCCAGTGCATCCATCGCGTGGCCTGTTGTAGGGACGCACCGAAATAGACACGGATAGCAGCACACACAGCGAAGTTGAATTAGCAATCGGTGGGGCGTTCACTTGGTCGTTGGTAGTAAAAGCGGCAAGCAGGGGAATCAACGTGTGAGTACTTTTTGCAAGGATTACGGATGCTGTGAAGTTTTGGGGCGCACCGTGCAGTGGACAACGCCTCCGGTCACATGGGGGGGGGGTCTGTAGTGCTGGTAGACCTTATGCGAGCATAACTCAAACTTTGAGACACGCTGAGCACAGATGAATTCAAAATTAGTGGTGGTGGCGTCCATAGCAAATTTTCAGACAGTTTCTTCTTTACATTAAATACTTGTCCTTTCGTTGTGGATTAAGTCACTGATACAGAAGATGGATCTTTCAAACTTTGTTTGATGAGCAGCCAGTTTGTTCACTTGATCGATCTCCTCAACTCCGCGAATTGCCTGGTTTTAATGGTTGTTCTCGCGTTTTGTTGACAGGCAGAAATACCCATAACCTAGTAAAAAAACGTCCTCCGCTTTCAGCCATGGATTTAGTTGGAAAATCTCTCCTTTTGCTGTTGTTGTGTTTGGTATCTCGAGCACTGAACGAATTCCCTTTTCCCTTCTAAAGAGTTCTCGCCTAAACTGGTTGGTCTCACTGGCTCTCGTGAACAGATCAACATTGTGGCGAAACGCTACCGCATATATCACAGTGAAGGTCCCAAGGATTCCGACGGAGACTATATTGTGAGTTTAAATTGTGTTATCTCCTTTATTCTCCCTTTTTAGTCAATGATGTTCAAATTCAGTCCATTGGTCTGCTGGCAAGTCCATCCGCTTTCGCTAAAACGTTGAAAGTGCAGAGATACTGGAGTGATCAATTTCTACCTTTTGGTCGTCAGATCTAGAAGACCCAGACTGTTAACCCAAACCAGTTGTCGCTAGCCCAACTGAGGGAATGAGCTGCAGGTTATTGCTCTGTTAGCCGCGACTGGGTCTATTTTTATCATGTAAGGAGTGTTGTTTACTCATCCCGACTGGTTACGAACTGCCGCACACGTCTGTTCAGTTCGCTGTCTCTATACAAAGTCACCCCGTCGGGTCTCGCGGCAGTGTGGAGTGAAGTCAGACGGCAAAGGTAACCGCCAGCGAGTGACCTGTGGCAATTGATCTTCTAACTCCAGCTAATTCGATGCACTTCTGGCCACTAATCAGCCCTCATCGTGAAATATACTCGTTCTCACACGCGGTAGGGACCTGAAATGGGCAAGAGCGATCCAGCGGCTTGAGATGCCGCTGTTTTTTTTTCAGGAAGGGACACAACTGATGTAGGCGTGAATATTCTTATCAGACTTGTCATAGATCGCTCAGGGCCTCTGAGTTGGGCCCAACCAACGAAACATTGGAGTAGTTTTCACCGGTCACATGTTTATTCTAGAGCGGCGCTTTCCACAAGGCGATTGCTTCCATGATTTTACAAGTAGAGTCGAAGATGCGAGTCTCAAGTTCCTGTTGCAAAAGACCCTTTAGACTTGACCAGGATGTTGTGAGCCTGCCGTAAACCTCGATGGAGTCCCCAAATCAGAGCTCAACAGCGAGAGCGGAAGAAAAGAAGCGTATTGAAGTATCCTAACAGCGTAGAGAAGGCGCTAACGGGGACGCATGGTAATGCCCAATGTCGGATTGAAATTGGACCAATCAGGTGCTGTCCTTGAGTGGCTGGCATGCCGGCTGGACTTCTTACTTACTTTACTGATCCTGTCGAGAGCCCGGGGCGATATCAGCACGCAGTGGGCGTGGGGGCGGATCGTTAGGGCGGCATGTGAGCCAGTCGGTTAGGGCCGCTGACCGAACAATTGTTTAAGCGTACGTCCAGCACAGATGACAGATGCGCGCCACAAAATGGGCTGCGGTGTTGCGACAGGCCGAAATAGGGTCGCACAGGCTCGAATGAGAAGAAGGCCTTAAGCCACTTCAGCCAGGTTTCAATCCCGTCCGCCTGACCCGAACCAGCCACCAGCACATGTTGGGAGAGTGAGGGCGGTTCAACGCGTACTTTTCTCATCGCAAAAAATCTGCCTAGATTTCAAACCACCATAACGCGTCAACGATCAACTGGTGGGATTACTCGGCCTGCGTCTAAACTAATGGTCTGGCTGCAATGACCCGTTCCTTTTATGACCTTTGTTGTGACTCCTTGATGAGTGATTAGGGACTGTCTTTGACCTTGGGCTGTTGTGCGTGCCTCTGTGGCACTCTCACCTAATCGGATCCGAACCGCCTCTCCCCTCATGTGTAATATCCCGGTCAGTGTTCGTTGTGGACTTGGGCGTGTGGTGGTACGCCTAGGTGCGGGTTTACACCGTGCCAGCCACCTGCGCCCTCTCCCGTCTCCGGTCTTCTTGACTCCATCTTGACACCGGGTCCAAATGGGAAGGAGGAGATAGTGCGGTAGGTGCTTCGCAAGTCTACTCTCACTATAAACTAAATCACGCACAAGTCACCGTCCCTGCTCTCACCTTGTTGTGGAGCAAACGGTGGATATAGTCGGCAGCGACGGTCAAACTGTCGTGCGTGACACTACGTCCACACCCATCCTCGGTTGTTATGACTTCCCCATGCCATCGAAGTATACCGCATAGTGCGCGATTGAGGTGAATGTTACGACAGTGTTAATGCATCCAGAGCAGTGGTTATCTTTGTCGCCAGTTTCCCCTTGGCGAATGAGGCTTTATGATTCCCCTGCAGCGGCGTTAATGCGATTCTGTGTACCCCCTAGCCGGCCACTTGCATGTTAGCTGACACAGTGTCATGCCACGCCTGATCAGGTTTCCTGTACTCACGAAATGTACCATGCAAACAGAGCAGACGTAGATGACAGTTTGCAGTTTCCTGTGGAACATCAGCCAGTACGCTCCAACTTTTTTTCGTCACATGGAACTTCCACCTGCCTGCATTGATTTATGCACCGGCTGGCTTGCAGACGATCACCTTTTTACCTCCTTCCCCCCTCCGTCTCACCTCCTGCCTAGGTGGACCACACGGTCGTCATGTACCTGATAAATCCCAGGGGCGAGTTTGTAGAGTACTATGGTCAGGTGAAACCCGTTCAGGAGATCGTCCGCAGCATCATGAATAGGATGAAGTCCTACTCTTAAGTGGGCATCTGCCGCAACCACTGCTGCTGTTGCTGCCGGCGCCTCTACGCCCGTCTTCCGATGAGCTGCCTCTCCGTGTTTACCTGCCTGCTACTTGCCTCTTTTGTAGTTACCTCATCTCCCCACTTGTCTATAAACGGTTCTAGGGTTTATACTTTACTACTACGGAAGACGTATCCTAGTCTCCCTCTCTGTCTCCCCTGTCTGGAAACGTTGGACATGCTTTTTTCCTTTATTCTTCTCTCAAGAAACAGAATACATACGTTGCTATTTGTGATATGTGTTCCCGTGTTTATGAATGCATTAACCGCTTCGACAGCATTTTAGAAATCTTCTCTTCAAAGAATTGAACCTCAGGGGTGTCACGGGTGTTGAGTCGCGTATTACAGCCCCTGTGTAAGGAGACAAACGATGCTGCTAGTAGGAGTTGGATGTCTTGGAATGCCGGCTACTCAAATAATAAAATATTACCTAACGGTGGGGGGTACTTGGTGCAGCAAGGACCATGTCTGATCTAGCTGGCCTCCATGATGTTGAGAATCATACCTCTCCATGCGTAACGATCTGCACCAGCGGATCTGGAGAAGACGGGTTGCCCGTTAGCCTAGCTGCTGGCTACCCGGCGCGTCCACAGGTGGCGGATAGTGGGACGACCTTCAGTGAAGGTTAGCTGCGAAATAAGCAGACCCAGGTCTGACGAATAAGCAGTCGCGGACCGGCAGCGACATTGCTACCAGGGTGCGGTGGGCTGAAGTCTGGCACGCTGAAAGCCTTATAAAATGCCGCAAAATCCAATGACGGCATTGTGACATGGCGACCGTAAACCGCCATTAAATAAGTTTTCTTGCCACCGCTGCCTTGTGGTTAGGCTTTTAAGCCAAAGCGCTAGAGGAGACAACCTCGAACAAACAATCCGAGCGGCTGTTGGGGACCCGCCCGTATTCAAAATTCCCAAGAAACCTCATGAAAAATGTCCGATCACAGTACTACGATCCATGCTACGGCGTCCGCGGGAACCGACGCGCTCCGCAACCCTGGTCCAGTGGTGCGGGCGAATAGTATGCGAGCTGGACTACTCAATCGTGGACGGACTCTCGGTATTGGATGCTGGAATGTACGAACGCTCCTCGACCCTGGTACCCAAAGTCTGACCGCACGCAGCCTTCATCAGTACAACGTGGATGTCTGCTGTCTGTCTGAGGTACGACTCCCTGACTCAGGCTCCCGTGAAATCAAGATCCCTGGAGTCGAATCCCACTTCACCCTGTACNAGTCCGCGCTCGCTGCGACAACATCGCAAGGATAACTCAGGCCATCCAAGAAAGACGACTGAGGTGGTTCGGGCATGTTCTTCGTCGTCCACCTCAGGAGCTCAGTGTTACTGCCCTCGACCCGGTACCGTTGCCCCATTGGAGGCGTCGAAGAGGGGGTCAGTTCAAAACCTGGCTCGACACTGTCCGTCAAGACATGGAGGTGGTTCTTGGACCTTCGGTATTCGGTCTCCGTCGTTGGCGAAGGGAATGGGTCGAGCTGTCTAGATCTGCTGCCGCAGACCGTCACGCGTGGAGAGGTACTGTTCGGGACATCATCGAGGCCGGCTAGATCAGGCATGATCGCAGCCGTATCAAGTACAAGTAAGTAAGTACAAGTATCTGGAGAGCTCGACCCATTCTTTGCTCCAGCGACAGAAGCCAAATACAGGCCTCTTTCATGTCATGACGATCTGTGTCGAGCCAAATTTCTGCTGATCCCTTCAACGGCTCCGGATCGGGAACAGCAGCACTGAGCTCATGAGGCGGCGACGACGACGAAGGACTTGTCCAAATCATCTCAGTTGTCTTTCTTGATTTCCTCAAACATGTTTTGGCTCAGTGGAACAACTTTCCGCGCCAGTGTCGGTAGATCTGGTCAGATCACGTGAACCAGTCGTATTTCAATCAAGTCAACGGGGAATTGGCTGCGCGCTGGTAAAGCTGGTAGGACCACGCACCTCATAGCGTGTAAACTCCTGATCTTGTGACAAAGCCTGGTTACAGCGCATTTACTCTCCCAGCAGGCTGTTTATTTGACGGAAATTCCCCTTCAGACATTCATGTAAAAACTATTTGTCTATCTATACCACTTGCACGCGTGGCGGCAATCTGGGGGCTGTTGAGCACGCAAGACGGATCCAACAGGAGATTGAGGTAGAAGATTAATCGAAGCGGCTGGCAGGGAGGAGGGGGGAAGGAGTGCGTGCACGGATCCAGGCTTGACGATTGCTACACCGAGCGATCAGTCTGCTGTCTCTGTTGTAGCTGCAGGGGTAGGTGAACTGGTAGTCTGCCCGTTGGTGGGATTTCTGTAAGCTGGATGATTGATTATGGCAATGGAAGCGGGCTTCGCTCGCTGGTGATCGTTCCGGGGAATCAACAATCCCCCACTTTCTATAGGCGGTGTCAGCTGTGGACGTTGCCGCCCACAGATCCCTAGGCGGTTTAACACCGACCCCAGGCGAGCGGTTTTCTCGCGGTTTGGATGTACCGCGCATGCTCGTGTCTGGGATGCAACGGAAGCCCGAGTATTCCATGTATGCATGAATAAAGGCGAAAATGTGAGATCCAGGTGCAATTATAAGTGAAGGAGAAGGGTGGTTGAGCACGGGGACATTCGGTTTATTATTCTGAGCTTCCGAACTCGTGCAGGAGTCCATCGTTAGAGCAACAGCACTAGCGACAGCATGCGTGGACCGCGCGTACACGAACATAAGCTGGCTGTGCGACGAGGCGACGCATTATCATGAGTGGCCGCCCATATCTATGAAACGGGTCATTGGTTTGACTTGACAGCCTCCAAAATAGTCGCCCACGCCAGAATAAAAGCTGGCCGCAAATTAATTGAAGCCTGGACCTCGGATGAGAGCTCAGTCAGTCGATTTATCGATCTGGCGCCGGGGCACAGAGACCTGAGCAGTCATCTGCACTCTGAAGCCATCGATCGATGATTAGCTAGCACGCCGTACAACTGTCGCCTGCTCTGTTGACGCACTATTTCTGAGGCACAAGTCCGAAATCTCAGAACAATAGAATGTTCCGGTGCTTGGTGTGTGCATCTCAGCGGTTCTTGTTCCACCACGTCCGCTGCAGACACCATCTTCGAAGTAGCCTCATGTTGTTCTGCCAGTTTCGGAGACGCGGATGGTGGCCGCTTCCTAACCGGCTGGGGTTTGGAAACACTTTCTTGATATTTCCTTTAGCGTCCTGTCATGTTCTCCGTAGACCACAGACAGCCGCACTGAGCGCTCTCGGACCGAGACGTAAGTCGGCTTTCTGGACTCCTACAGCCTCCATCTTCAATATTTTCTCTCTATTAGACCTGAGGGAAATTGAAAATAGACTCAGTGTGAGCAAAAATCAGCGATTGTTCGACGTGTGCATGAGGAGTATCTGCCGCCTGGCGCAGTCCCCTCCGTTCTACCTACCTGGTTAAGAAGAGCCAGCTGAAGACCATAGCTAAGGTGCTGGGGAATGCGAGCTGCACTGAATGAACGTTATTCACTCCGACCTTCCCGGTACAACTCCAGGACGAGTTTCCTGAAAGCCAGAGTTGGTAGATTTCCAGGGTAGATAGATGTGTTTTCACCGATACAAGCGAAGATGCGAGTTCCAGGAACTAGTTGATCAGAAGAAGAAGCGATCGCTGGAACAAGGTCTTTATTCGCCTGACGTTTCGGATTCTCACTTGAATCCATCATCAGAGACAGCAGCAGAAAAGGATGACTCGTGCACAGGAAGTTGCAGCATTTATAGGATGCAGTCGCTATGCTACCGCATACCTGTAGAAATTAACCACGCTCCCCTTCATCAAGGATCGTTGCCCGCTGGTACGCTAATTGCTTGCTGGCCGGCATGCAAGTTGTTAATTACCGAAATGTCATTACCCGTGTTGGATGCTGGCGTAATGATTGCTCGGCCATCTGGCTCACCGGCTTGCGCGCGCCCCGAGTGGATAATTACTTTGACCAGCCTATGCCCCAGCACGGCGTATGGAGTGGGCATGTCGTTGCACTTGTTGATAGCTTGAGGTCCCGTGAACCATGACTCAAGCCATTCGCGGCTCACACGATTATCCCCTCTCACGAGAATTTTGGCCTGTGCACGAGTCACCCTTTTCTGCTACTGTCTCTGATGATGGATTCAAGTGAGAATCCGAAACGTCAGGCGAATAAAGACCTTCTTCCAGCGATCGCTTCTTCTTCTTCTTCTTCTTCTTCTTCTTTTTCTTCTTCTTCTTCTTCTTCTGATCAAATGTGTTTTCACTTGGAACTGCGTTTCCTTCTCGATTCCGCCCGAAGGACGCCTAACGCGAGCCTGCATAAACTTGCGACACCTTTTATCGATCGTCGTCGCCGATGCGTTTGCTTGCCGTGCAGCGCCAGCCCGCGCCGCGGGCTCACGTGTCTGCCTGCCTGCCTGCCCAGGTAGGCACGTGCATACGCCGTTGGTAGCATGACTGGCGCCGGAACACACCCGACAGTCTGGCGTGAGGTGGCGGGCACCTGGGGCGCCATTGCCTGACAGCTCTCAGTCGCGGTCCTGCGGGCGTAGTACACAGCCACAACTCAGGGGCGTTTTCTCTATGACAAGGCAGTAGACGAGTCACCCCCACAGTTGCGGCTACTCTGCTCTGATATGTGCGCAGAGGAGTTGCTGGCTCTGGTTGAAGGGTTTGTAGAGGTCACTGTGGCTTACGAATACTGTTGGCAAGGGCGAGAGGCTGAACTGGCAGTTTCTGGCTTATCTTTCGTCTTCAACCAGCCCCGTCTGAGTCCCAGATCAGACAAACCCTGGTTCTGATGGCCACTGCGCTAGGCTTTCTGCCATCCGAGCTGTCGCCGTGGATATTGAGGGTCAAATCGAGGTGACGCTCGACAATCTGACCTGACTTCAGGTATGGGATTTTTTTGCCTTGGATTCTCCTCTGGAATCCTCACAGGATGTTCTACCGATAAAGACAGTAGA